ATGTAGTACAGACTTTTGTTGCTACCTTCAATGAGTAGCACATTAATATCTAGTTTTTTGCCTATAAATGAGACATTAAGGTATGTGGGGAAAATTGTGAAAATGGCCTACCTCAGAAACGCCCGTGAATCTGTGTGACATGTTCAACGATAAAAAGAACCAAAATGGCAGCGCCCATGTTTTATGCCGGGCGGTCTCAGACAGTTAATACAAAGTCTCGTGGTCTTGTCATTCGCATGAAAATTATAGTTGGTCCTCAGCTGTATAAAGCAGGTGCATTTTTGTTTCTGGGCACTGAGCTTTTTGCTCGTGAGAAGGTTGGACGTGTGACACTATTTTGTCGATTACCCTCCTCGCGGTTCCCATCTGCTACTATCAGTTGAGTCGTTTCTTTACCACCACAAGGTAATACATGGAAATTAGGTGTGAAAGGATGTCAATTTTTCCAGGGTCAAATTCAAAAATTTCATTAGCACTTACTGTATATATATATAAAAAGTGTGGACACAGAAATCAGCACTGCATGCTGTCTGGCAATTTCACATCAAAAAATCATCATCAAGCTAGGTTTTGTTCATATCTACAAACTGTCTTAGTACTGATGGCACCCACCCCATAATTATACACACAGTTGTGTGTGCGTATATATATATATATATATATATATATATATATATATATATATATATATCCATCAACAGACTGTTTTGATGCTTCACAGCTAATCAGTATGGCTAGACATTGGATTGCTTCAAGCTGGAATCTAAACTCGATGATTAGTCAGAGACTCCTAACCTTAGGCTATCAGCGCACAGCAGAGAAGGAATTTTTAACATATTATATACGTAAACTCCATACTGGCCACCATACTGATCAATTCTTATGAACAGTGATGCATTAAAGTAGCTGTTAAAATTACCTTTTCTCCATAGTGCTCAATATATATATATATATATATATATAAAGAAATATAGTTTTAAGGTGTGCTATATTTATAGGATCAAGTGCTCAATATCAGAGATAGAGCGTATATCAATATAAAAGTGAACATTGAAGTCAACACTCAGAGGTGACAGGCTGTTTCATGCCAGATGCAATCATCAAGCCTGACAACTGTGTCTAGCATGAAACAGCCTGTTGCCTCTGAGTGTTGATTTCAATGTTCACTTATATATATATATATATATATATATATATATATATATATATATATATATATATATAACACTATATTCCCACAAAGCATGTGGGCTTGATGGTATCCCTGGAAGAGTACTTAAGAAATGTGCTCCTGAACTGATTCCTGTTATCTTTAAACTCTACAATAAATGCTTGCTGCCTTTCGCTTTCCTGGTTGTTGGAAATATTTTTCCAGAGTTCCAGTCTTTAAGAACTTGGGCAAACTGTCTGATTCTTCTGTCAACCTATTACCTTTCTACCTCTTTTTGGCAAAGTACTAGAGACTCTAACCAACTCCAAATTGGCTAAGTATCTCATCTGGGACGTGTGTTTTGGTGTACTGGATATCAACTTGGGATGAGAAATCGGAGAGCAGAGTTCAAATTACAGTTGTGTTCGTTGCATGCCCTTATGCGCAAATGCCCTTGGGAAAAGTATGAATCCATCTTTTCTCCCAGCTATGGGTTGAAGAGCAGGACACTGGGTCCTATGCTTTGGTTGGCAACCAGTCTACCTTAGAAAGAAATGGCAACCTACTGTGAGATAATCAGCCTAGACAGTCATGACTTGAAAAAAAGACATGATTGCCCAAGTGTGTATCACACATGGCACTGACTGACTGATCACACCCTGCAGGGTCTTCTTTCAGACAAGTAATATGTCTTGTGCTTCTCTAGGTCAACTGCCAATGTGTTAACAGCTATTGTGGAAAGAATCTGTTAAGCTTTAGATACGAGTGGTGAAGCTCAGGCTGTTGCTTTGGATATCTCAAAGGCTTTTGACAGGGTCTAAACATGCTGGTTTTCTTCATAAGTTGAAAGGTTATGGTATTTTGGACAAATTGAGTTGATTTAATCTTTCTTACCAAATCACAAAATGAAAGTTATCTTGAATGGCCACTCTTCTAGATCATTTCACATTAAAACAGGTGTTCCCTATGTCTCTATACTTGAACCCATGTTGCTCTTAATTTTCATCAACCTCCTTCCTAATGTCATCACTTCTCCACTTGGTATCTGTGCTGATGAAACAACTCTTTACTCTTGTTGCAATTGTAAGTTTGAGTGGGTCGATAAGGAGAAATTGGCAGCTGATTTTAAAAAATGACCTCCAGTCTGTTAACTGGGGGCAAGAAGTGGCTTGTTAATTTCAACCTCTTGTCAAAATTGTTCTCTCAACTGGATGAGGTCAATGAACATGGCAATCTGTTTCACTCCTAGCCAATCACAATGTAAGCCAAGTGTTATCAAATTGAATAGACTGTTTTAAAAAAACATTTAAAACTTTTAAAAAATTTCAATCTTGGTAAGCAAGTCGAAAGGCACAGGCTAGTAGTAAACGCACCTTGTGTAGCTACAAGCGAGTGAAGTGTACTTTATAGCTATTTGAGCAATTTTATTTATCCTGTTATTGTTTAATTCAAAGGAGATGGTGGAAAATAAGTGTTAGGACAAATAGGTTTCTCCTGATGTAATTCCTAATGCGTTTTGCGAGAATGAAAAAACATCCCAACCTGATGTTGATCTGCAGAATCTGAAATGTCACTCAGGAAAAGAAGCAACGATTGAAGGACTTCTCTGTTTTCATCGGGCATTAGAATGATCGCTGTATTCACAGCTTCCAGCTGATACTCTTTGGGAACGTCTAAAAGTAAATAAAAAATAAAAAATCGATCAACCAAAAGACAATGCAATTACAAAAAACAATATAAGGCTGAAATGATTATTCATTAGTTGTCATATCTGTCTGCAGCAGATTGCAAACTAACATGATACATTTCCCTAGCATTTGTTATGGTCTTATTTAGCTTCCGTCACTCATTTGTTACGGTCTTATTTAGTTTCCGTCTCTCGTTTGTAACAGTCTTATTTAATTTCCGTAACTCATTTGTTACAATCTTATTTAGCTTCCGTAACTCATTTGTTACTGTCATATTTATTTTCCGTTACTCATTTGTTGATGAGCAAAGAATTACTATCCTTCCATTTCTGTTTTCGTTTTTCTTCATTTTTCTTTCTATGCACCATAAACTGAAGTCACAGTTTAGCGAGCCTTACCCTAGATCTTTTGATGTTTCCAAATAGTTTAACGGATTTATTACAGATGGTATTGAAGGCGGCAAATTAGTTACACTTCTAAGCATGGTTATTTTCACTATGACTATCAGCTTGTGATATGCGTCATATAGTTTTAGAAAGTTTCATTTTGAGGTGAAATGTTTTGAGTTCATGTCAGACAATTAAATCAACAGGAAGGTCTTTGCTTTACTTAAGCAGGAATGTTTTAGTTTTTGAACAAAAATTTTCAACAATCTTTTTTTTTCTTTTAGCAGCTAAGTGAAAATTATTATTCCCTGACAGCAAATTGGCACCAACTGCAACAGCCAGAAAACAGTGTACACAGACATATACAAGCACCCACACATGTGTATGTATGTAGGTATATATATATATATATATATATATATATATATATATATATATATATGAGAGTGGGGTTTTATACGTGTGTGTGTGTGTGTGAAAAATGCACTCTGTTATAATTATTTTTTTATATATATATATATATATATATATATATATATATATATATATATATATATATATATAGATAGATAGATAGATATTTCATTGAATAGAACAGACAAGGTGCTTTTATTTAGTTTTTATACAATTTCTTATGAGATATAATAATTTTTTTTTTCTTTTCAGATGATAAATTATATAAAACTTGTCCAAATGTTCTTTTTATCTACATGCAAAAAAGGCTAAAAATAATGGAAAAAAAAAAACAAACAAAAAAAAAAACACTTAATAATATCAACTATGAACATGGACACAATATCTTGGTTCGTGTTTTGAAAAAAATAAAAAATAAAATGAAAACATTTTACAAAACTTACATGCAACAAACTATTTCTTATTTAAGAGTTAAAATATTTAATCCTTGAAAATGGCTGAATGTATAGCCAAAAGTGCTCAGATAAAAAGAACATTCAGACAGTTTTTATATAATATATCATCTGAAAAGAAAAAAATTATTTGATTGCATGAGAAGTTGTATAAAAAAATAAATAAAAGCACCTTGTCTGTCATATTCAATGAAATGTGCATGAAAGAAGGATTGCTGTATATATATATATATATATATATATATAATGTTATTCAAAAAAAAATTTGCTTTAAGATGGAACAGAGCTTGGTAATTTAATTCAAATAATTATATTGAAGTTTTCGGCTCTTGTTTTGAAACATGAGAACTCTTATGTAGTGATGGAATCATATTTTTAAATAAATAATTATATTTATGCTCTACTTTTGTATCGAGTACTATTTTTAAAAAATAATAAAAATACTAAAGAACTTTGGATTATTTACCTAACGAGTTCTTTCCTATTTTTACACACACATACACACATATATATATATATATATATATATATAAAACCCCACTTAAAAATAATAATAACAGAGTACATTCCCACTTTTTAAAAAAATCACCATGATAACAATCACAGTTACAATAAGTTAGTCTTTGTAATTCACACCTGAGGATGCTCTCAGAGGTGATCAAAAGTACATGGGTAGGAAAAAATTATGATGCTTTCCTTGCTGAATTTCATCTTAACATCAAGAAACTGATTAGAGAACTAGAAAGGATTATTATAAAAATACATATTTAATGAAACATGTTTGAAGATATACTTTCTTGTGCCACATCTAAGCTATGCTTAGAATATCACCACACCTACTTGTAGAGATAAAACATGACTATCTTCAAAGAAAAAAAGGACATACAATTTTAGATTATGTTGATTGATTTGACAACATGTCAGTCTTTCTTGTCTGAATTTTGGGATGATGAGTTAATTTTATTTACATGTGGACTATTGTCCACATCTTTGTTGTTGTTATCACAACATTTTAGTCGTTATGCCCCCTGACCTTTATCAGGTGCTTGTTGTTCTTCAAGGCATTTCGAAATGAACTTTTTAATCTACAGGGATGATCATTCTTATTCCACTGTCCATATTCAGGGACATCTTATTTAATTCTTATTTAGTATTACTCACTACTAAATAGTAAGGGTCAATCAGACCAGTCCTACTAACACTTACTTCATACTGCTTAATATAGATAAGTAAATAAAGATATACAAAGAGATTTTTTTTACAAATATTTTATCATTAGTTTGCAATTGTAAAGTTACTTATATAGTGCTGACGTTTTTTGCCAGTGAACCTACAGCAGTGATAGTAATAAAATGTTAGAAAAGCTCTAAGTTAGATATGTGTATATATATATATATATATACTCACGTGTAAAAATATCAATGAATGTTTCTGATAATTTGTTAGTGAGCAAACACTCAGGAAGTTCACGAAAATATTGCTTTGTCAAATCGGCAATGTCATAGGCCTGCATATCACTGAAATCAACCAAATCTGGAAAAAAGAGAGAAAAGAAAAGTTTATTTATATATATATATATATATATATATATATATATATATAGAGAGAGAGAGAGAGAGTGTGTATTTAGGCAGCATTTTTTCATTCATACATATTTCATTAAATAATATAAGCTGAAAGCTTAGATAGGATTAAAAAATATGTATCAATATTGTGATTTTCTTTCTTCGTTTAATGATAATGTTATTAAGCTTATCAGACGTTATGAAAAGAATTTCCATAAAATAAAAAGACAACACTTGTCTATATTATTTAATGAAACATATATATTAGTTGAACTGATGTAAGTTTGTGACCCTGGGTTTCACGCTTTTGCAAAAGTGTGAAACCCAGGGTCACAAACTCACATCAATCCAACTAAATGTTAGATCTATCACTGATATTCAGCGCTTTCCAATAAGTACCACGCATATAATATCTAAATAATACATATAATATATTGCCCACACACACACACATGGTGTGATGGGTAAATTGTTGCCATTCTATATTTTTAATTTTGCACATGTGCATTGTTTTTGATTTTGTAGATATATAAAGTATAGTAGGGTAAGTTGGTCATTTAAAGAACAAATAGGAAACATTTATAAATATAAAATGTTTTGCTTTTAATAATATCTGAAGATGGCAAGAGTGCAAAACTCGAGTAACAGCTCAGGCTGTCCTTTGTTAAATGTTGATATTGTGAAGCGTTTCTTGCTTTGTCGAGATAAACTGGATGTGAAAAATATGAAAAGCAAAATTGTAATATGAGCACTGGTAAAAAAATGGTTGCTGAAAACATTAGGTTTATAATACCCAGAAGTTCATACCCAGTCCTCAACCACCTGAAGAAGGCTGAAGCGTACAACGCCGAAACGTTGTGACAAATATGGCGACAAAGATGAGGACAATAGTCCAACTAATGTAAATACTATAAAAACAAACCTATTTTGTAATAGTCTAGAAAAATTATAAATATATCAATAACTTGAAAAGAACTATTACTTCTTCCATAAGATTATTTAACAAAATAATCACAGACCTAATAAATAAATAAAAAGTCTTGAAAGCCAAAACTAAAACCTTGAATTAAAAGGTTTGTAAATGGAAAAAATAAGTGTGTGTGTGTGTGTATATATATATATATATATATATATATATAATTATTATAGACAAACATGACTACAATAAATAAGATGTAGTGACAAAAGGACAGTTTTTCATATCACACCTCTTTTTTTTTTTTTTAACTACATTCATTCTTCAAAAATGTTTGTTTTAAAAAATAATGATTAAAATTGGAGTAAGACCAAAACCTATGATGAAAGTGAATTTATACATTTTCTTTTTGTTCTTGAGAATTTATAACAAAAATATTAAACGTTATTTATTAGATTTTTTATTTACAAGAATAATTTTATATTTCCAACATTCTAAAATCTCATACAATTGTATTAAGATTAAAGAAAAAAATGTGAAAACAATTTTTTTTTTATTCATAAATTTGTAAACCCTTTCTAAATTATTAAAATATGTGAACCAACCAATCTTTATTTTTTACCATTTTATAAAGTTTAAATCAATTGGCAGTTTGCTGATGTTTTGCAAACCATTCCAGTAATCAATATAATAGTGTTTATTATTTTTCGTATCAATTCTCAAGAACAAAGAAAAAGTATAAATTCACTTCCATCAATATGTTTAGGTTTTATTACAATTCTAATCATTGCTTTTTAAAACAATAAACTTTGCTGAAGAGTGGAGTGAGTTTAAAAAAAACAACAACATTCTTTTGACACTATTGTGGGCGGGTTTCTACGTGTTTGTCTGAAAGTGTGATTCTGAACAACAAGAATGCAATTTTTTTTTTTAAAATACACCTGAAAATTTTATTTTTAATTTAGCCTACCCCACTTCCAAAAAACTCTATCAGAATTTTTTTTTTTTTTGAAAAGGTTTCTTGATCAGGCTGGAACCTTTTCGGTAACCCACTTATAGACTTTTTTAATACTTAGACTGAATAAAAAAATAAAGTTGCAGTTCAATTATTTGATATAACCTATGCTTTATGTTTCTATATCAAATATCCCCTTATTGTTCATTGGCACTTGTATAACAAAGGTTGCTTGTAATATATTTTGAATACATCTTTTTGTCCCCACTCGGAAATCTGGCAGCCAATATCCATGATGGTGCTTGTTTAACAAAGAAATAAAACTAGAATTTACTAAAAGAGTGAAATATTTCAAATATAATAAACAATATCTCTTACAATTCTAACAGACCGAGCTAGTGTTATTAAATATCCATAAACAATATCTCATTCATAAACCTACACATCTTTTGGACTAATAGCCCATTCATAAATGTCTATAAACAATATCTCATTCATAAATCCACATTTGCTTTGGACAAATAATTTAATTTTTTTGTTCTGAATACAATCTTTTAAACAATATGTTCTTTAGCTTTATTCTGTTGTTAACTTGTCATATTCTGGTTAAGAATATATATATATATATATATATATATATATATATATATATATATATATATATATATATAGTATTGTATTGGGGCAGCAGATCATTATTTAAACATATATTGTTAAATATAACAGACAATGAATGTCTATTATGTCTGACCATGAGCCGTTCTAAGCTTCGTATGGTTGCTTTAGGATGAAAATAAAGACTAAATTGTCGAACATTTTGATATTTTTTTTATTAAGGTGGTCCTTGATCTTATGTGATCTGAAAACTTAGTTCAAGGACCAGCTTAATAAAAAAATATCCAAATGTTGAACAATTTTTGTCTTTATTTTCACCCTAAATTAAAGCAACCAAACAAAGTTTAGAACCGCTCATGACCAAACACAATGAACATTCATTGTCTGTTATATATATATATATATATATATATATATATATATGTTATGATGTTGATTTGGGGTTAGTAGAGACAAACGCCAAATAACACGTAACAATAAAAAGGGTTTTAATAGGTTGGTAAAAAGGTATAGAAATCGCCTGAGTAGTCAATAACTAGCTCAGCTAAGAACTTCTCTGTCTATCTGTTTTTCATTATTTAAAGTCTTTGTTCACAGACGCACACAAGTTCATCTTCAAGAGGGGTGGTAGGTTTCCGACACAACAATATATATATATATATATATATATATATATATATATATATATATATATAACTCAAATCTCCAAGTTTATTATAAAAATAATAATAGCTGATTGCTAATTTCCAAGTATGCTTGTCTGCAAGGCAGTTAACAGAAAAGGAAGCTGTGAATACTTATGATTGCATTGCTTATGCTCTAAAGGGGCACTTTTTTTTTTTTTTTAATTACAGCATGGCGTAGTAATGGATAGCGGATAGGATTGTGGAATCAGAGAGCCGTGTTCGAATTCCAGTCATATCCATTACTTTCACTTACATGCTAATACCCTTGGGAAAGCTATGAATCCTCTTCTTCTCCCCCCAGCTATGGGTAAATGGCAGGACAGACTGAATTCTATTGCCTTGGATGGCAACAGAAAGAAATGGCAACCTACTGTGGGAAAAAAAATCTGTCTCGTCAGTCACATATCGAAAGATACATGATTGCTTCAGTGTGTATCACGTACGGCACATAACTGACTGATTATAGTGTCAGACTAGTTGTAAGTACTGATAGTCTAGAGTGTTTTGATAGACATTAGCCTAACTTTCCATAAGATTATCAATGAGAATATTAATCCTTCAATATCTGTCTACATTTCTGTGGTGTGGTATTGTAACTATTTACGATATTTACATTGTTCAGATTATTGTCCTGATCTTTGTTGTCATATTCATAATGTTTTCGCCATTGAACGCTCTGGTCTTCTTCGCATCACCTGAAGAAGGCCGGAGCATACAACAGCCAAATTGTTGTGAATATAACAACAAAGATGAGGACAATTGTCTGAACAATGTAAATAGTGTAAATAATTATCAATCCTCTAAGATATTTGATCGAAGATTACTGGCTCTTCATCCTCTACCTTTACAAGAGCCAGACCGAGCCAAAAACAGAGTATTTTTGTCATATTTAAGGCTGAAGCTGCCAATCCACATTCCTTTCCAGTCTTAAGAGTTCAAAAGCATCTCTTAGTTCTTGTGCATGACAAATTATTTTTCCCTGTTCAACTTCTCTCTCACAGGCGGAATGTATTGAGCCTCTATCACTGTTTCCATGGAAAGTGCTCAGACAAACTACATTCCTTGGTTCCACCAAGTGTAGCATTTATGGTTAGGACCCATTATGCCACTTACATGGTAACAAAGCTTCCACATTACCTCTGTATTCCATCTGTGAGAAGTAAGTTCCACATGAACAGCTTCTTCCTGTGAACCACTGCTCTGTGGAATAGACTCCCAAGAGGATGTTTCCTTAATCACGACAATCTTAACCTGTTCAAGTCTAGACTTAACTGTTATCTTCTATCTATATAAACTACCCCTTAACATAACCATCTACCTTGAGTGGCCCCCGGGCCTTGTAAAAAAAAAAAAAAAAAAAAAGAGAGAAAGACCTAGGACAAGTTATTTTTTTTTTCAGTCAGAAAATAATTTCTCAAAAGAAATATTTATCTGAGAACTGAAGACTTACCTGAATTTGCTTCAATCTGCTCCCGTAATTTCTGTATCCGAGATTTGACTCCAGATTTCCGGAAGATTCCATCTGCATCTTTTGCCGTTTTTCGCAAATACCTCATTGCATAAAGAATGCACTGAGGTAGTGGCTGCCCTGTTCTCCGCAGCGTCTCCATGAGCGGAACCCCAAAAACTTTCTTGTCTTTGTAGTCTGGCACTTTGGTCTTCTTAATGAATCTTGGCACCAACCAGTTCCACCCAGAACGACTTGCGGGTGAGTACTTCTCCAGCAGCGTTGTTATAGTCAGCATACATACACTTTGTAGTTTTCGGAACTGACCCACAGATAATGTGCAAATTTGAGTGCTATGGCTACGGAAACTGGGTCGATGTGATTTCTGGAAACTCGTCCACCGAATCCGGTTACGTTTTTTCAAACTGAAAAATATTTTTAAAAAGAAATAAATATAGAAAATTGAGTGCAAACACACAGATGGAGAACTTTTTTTTTTTTTTTAAACAAAAGAAGGCCATCTCTCCAATGTTGGGCTGACCAACCATTGGCCTGCATATGATTTTGCAAACCAGCCTTGCTCTAATATATGTGACACAAAAAAGATTTTTGGAATGTCCTGAAAGTGACTTTCTTTTTATACATTCATGTACCTCTTCAGCTTGTCATCAGACCTCCAAATTTTATCACAAAACTGATCTAAGTATCCTGCAGGCTTGTCAAGAAGGACATCCACATAGTCAACATTGAACTACTGATTTTCATGTGAACTTAAATAATTAACAAATCTGGCATGATACAGAACAACTAACCTGCAGATTTTACATACAAGCTCAGAGTGAATATCTTCTGGGATTGAGTGTACACCACATTTCTTAAGAGCCTTTTCAACTTCAGATACACAACCTTTTTGAACTCAAAGTGATTGCAACCATCAAAAACTAACTTTTTCCAACCAGATTTATTCTTTGCCTCTTTTTTCTCCAATTTTTGACATTAATATCATGATTTTTCAGGTTGTCTTTAACAACATCCTTGAATTGATTCTTGTCCCAAGAACAAGCTCTCTGTAAAACAGGTGCATAGGCTTAGGCAATCTCTCATCTTCCATTCTTCTGAGATGCCCTGCTCAGGACAGTTGAGATATATATATATATATATATATATATATATATATATATGTATATACACACATATGGGGCGTAGTGGTGGATAGCTGCTTGGATTGAGGAATCGCAGAGCCGAGTTCAATTCCAGTTGAATCCATTACATTCACTTACGTGCTAATACCCTTGGGAAAGGTATGAATCCTCTCCCTCCAGCTATGGGTAAAATAGCAGGACAGACTGGGTTCCATAGCTATCCATTACTCCACCGTGCCTCCGTTATATATATATATATATATATATATATATATATATATATATTGAAATAAAAAAAAATATTAAAAAATTCAAATCTTCAGACACACTGGATTGTATATTAATATTCTCTCGTTTTTATTATTATTTTATTTAGATTCCTCACTACTGGATTGACTTGTGACGATCATGCGCATAAGTGTTACCTTATTTCTTATTGTACTGGTTTTTACAATAAACCTTTACTTATTTTATCCACAGTGTTTGTCAAGTATATATTCCTATTAGCATGGAATATAACATTTAATACTGATAAGATTTTTAGGATAGGTTCATATGAATAGAATATGTGTTCTTTGTAAGAAATCAGTTTGTAGATCAGGTTTCATTGATGTATTTTGTAAAGAGAGTTCTTGTCACGAGTCTATTTTCATTGATATATTATTTTCAGATATACAGTTTGTAGAAAAATTGGGAGTTTTTCTTCTATTTATAATGAAGTCGAATATTGTCTTTTGTTATAGGTCTGGTTTGTTGTTTTACGGCATATCAACCTCGGTGGGTTATTTAATATTAACAAGATCTTCTAGGATAAGTTTGTATGAATAAGAAACCAGATAAGGTTTCGTTGACATATTTTTGTAAAGAGGGTTTTTGCCGAAAATCAAATGTATTGCTGGTAATATTTTTTTTTCAAAAGTGTATTGCTAGTATTTTTACTATACAAATCTATTTTTATACATTCATAGTGTTTTCACCGCAGTTTGGTGGTTCACTATTTGCCCATAGCTGGGACCCTAAATGGTGCTACCACCCTAGGTCAGAGTGGACCTGGGAACAACAGCAATTAAGAGGTGCTACCACACTCCTCAAAACCTCCTTGCTACCAGATATAGTTTATTGTCATAACGAAGGAGGGCGGGAGGGTACAACTGTTGAAATGTTACAAAGAAGGTGAAGAATGTAACTAACAAAGTATAATAAATTCTCATCCCAGATATTCAGAAATTTTGTAGTAGTGACTTTGTAATCACAGATACAACTATAGTACACTGTTGAACAATGCTGGCGTCAGATGCCTTTTAATAGCACTCGCACTAATAGTACTTGCTCGATTATACTTGCTTGAAAGTAACTACTCTATAGTGATCTGAATAAAGAAATAGTATAGTGAATAGAGTAAAGAATAGCAGTCTGTATAGTAATAGAGGATAGACTAGAAATGATAATTCTTATAGTATAGAGGATAGACTAGGAATAGCGATCATTTAAATGTCGCTCAACTTCATATATATATGTGTTTCCTCTATGGTCATGTGGTCCACTTAATTCAATAACAGGATCTCCTGTGTTTTCTCACTGGCGATCTATGTTCAAACTCAAGTGTCGGCAGGGACACTTTATTCCTAAATAACACAGGTGGATTACAAATTGGAGATGTCAAAATCAAGCTAAAATTTAAATATCTGGGAAGTGTTTTAGCAGAATACAGAAAATGCGACACCAGAATCCCAAGGTACATTGGAATTGTGAAAGTTGTCTTCGAAAAGCTAAGCAAAGTATTAAGAAACAGGAAAATCTCATTAAAAACAAAGAAAAGGGTACTATAACGTAATATCAGTCCTCCTATATTGCAGTGAATGGTGGATAATCTCCTCACAGATGATGAAGAGACATGAGGCAACAGAAATGTGGTTCTACAGAAAAATGCTGAGAATACCACGGACTGAACATGTGAGCAATGACGAAGTTTTAGAGAAAATCAAAAGAAAAATGAAACTTAACACCGGGAAGAGACAATTGAAAATTTTTCAGGTATGTAATGAGGAAAGAAGGCTGAGAAAATTTGATACTCACAGGACATATTAAAGGCAAGTGGGACAGAGGAAAGCAGTACAATGATTAGGACAGATAGCAAAAAGACACAAGTGCTACAAAGGGCAGAAAATTGCGAAGAGCCATGATCACTCATATCCTGAAGGGACACGATATATAGAAGAAGAAGAATTTGACTGTTAGTGTACATAAAAATCATCACATCAAATATGGTGCTAAGCAATCAAGAAAAAAATATGCAGAGTCTGAAAGGTTTAGGTTTTTGGTTAGATTTTATTTTCTGTCAAAATTATATCAAATAGGCAGAGTCCTTACCTTGGTGCTCTAGTCAAAGAGGAACCGACACCAGAGTCCCGACGTTCTCTACTGATTCCAGGCTCAAAGAATTTTCCAGCATCTGTTTCCGCATCACTGTCACTCAAGACCTCTGCACTAATGTCGTGTGTGCTAGCTTCAGAGGCAGCTTCAAAATCCAAATCTAGTTCCAATTCTAATTCTTGCTTTTGCTGTGAATCAAATGCATCTGTCCCCGAATCCAAACCCATCATGCTGTCGAACGTTCTTAGGTCACGTAGAACGTTAATCTCCTTTTCTAAATCTGAAACGGCAAAAGAAAAAAATTCTTAGTTTAAAAAGATTTACATGGTTAGAATCCTTTGCTAAAACCATATGGATACTAAGTTTGACAAAAGGCTCTTATTTTAGGAGTACTAGGTGAAGATCAAACTCACTACATAAATGCTCTGGCCTGAGCTTGCTAATTATTACATTATGTTTAGATGCCCTAAATGGGAACAAAAAGGACATTTATACTTAAAATCAGAAAGAGTTGAAATTTTGGGGACAAGCAAGGAAAGACAGCTTAGAGAATTTGACACTCACAGAACATACTGTGGTGGGATAGGGGAAACAGCCAGTAAACCAAGCCTGTGCAAATGGATGGTCGAAAAGAGAGCGGGACAGATAGTGAAAAGACAAACACTGTTAAGAGTTACAAAGGATAAGAAATTGTGGAGAGCTATGATCATGGACATCCCGAAGGGACACAGCACATAGAAGAACACTGCTTACTAATAATCATAGGAGAAACAAGAAAGTTTTAAAGAAGCTTGAAACAAAAAGGGATACTTGTACTTAGAATCAGAAAGTTGAAATTTCTAGGATATACAACAAAGAAAGAGGGCTTGGAGAATTTAAAACTCACAAGACATATTGAGGGGCAAAGGGGAATAGACTAAAGAATAGTATTTACATTATGATCATATCTACTGATAGTTACTATAATGTTTTTTTTTTCTATCCTCTATACTATAAGAATTATCATTTCTAGTCTATCCTCTATTATTATTATACGGACTGCTCTACTTTACTTTATTCACCTAACAAGCTTGTATAAACAGATGATAGGGAATGTGAATGATAGTTAAAAAAAAAACATAAAAACAAACCAAATATTGCTAAGAGCTACAAATGATAGGAAGATATAGAGAGCCATCACTTATGTCCTCAAGGAACATGGAACATAAAAGAAGGAAAACCTTAGTTTACTTTGGTACAAAGGCTACTTTAGTGTGTCACCCAGTGAGGATCAAATTCATTATGCAAGAAAACTGGTTTATAAAACAAGCAATTTTTTTTTTGGGGGGTTACTATCCTTACTCAGTGAACTTGCACAAACGGACGACATTTGTAGTTTTTGAGCTCACCCGAATGGTTTTTATTTTCATTATGGAACTATCGTAATATCATTTATGCTTAGGAGGAAGAATAAAACAAATCTTTCAAATTTCTTTAAAAAAAAAAAAAAAAAAAAAATAAGGGTTTTAGTCTAGAAAAGAAGATCCAAAATTCTTGAAAAGATGTTATATTTGGCATTTAACAGATTTAGATTTCTTTTGTGGGGAATTTTCAATGTCAAAAATAGATTCAGCGCCCATAAAAAATTAAAAAAAAAAACAATAACATAGGAATAGAGGTCTAGTTCATAATTTTCTGATGAATGCAAGTTAATACTGAAAACTGATATGTGATGCCAGGTATGTGGTGACAAAAGAGGGCAATGATTAATTTAATGTATTAAAGAAACTGAACATGTTTTAAATAATTTTCTTACATTTTTGTCAATTTAATTTTTTTTTAACATAGGGAAACTTACACTCAAATGAAGAAAAACTTCTGTAGACAAATATTTTTAGCATTAGAAAAAAAAGAAAAGCAGGAAAAACAGGCTTTATTTTTGTACACAAAAATGCAGATATAGCTAACAAATATAGTTTCAAAAGGACCTAAAAAACAGGAGTGTATTATTTAGGTATGTAACTAAGCCTTGCTTTATCAATTGCTATAGTCAAAATGGGAGTGCTATGGGAGTGGTTTCCCTGGTGGAAAAAAGGAATACTGGTTCAATTAATATTGGGAGGCACTTTTTTTTTTTATAGTACTTCATGATGTTGATCAGTTGACATAAATTTCCCTTTTTAAGAAAATATAAAAAGGGAGGTCAACTCAAACCTATTTAGCTACTAAAAATAATGTCTATAGCAATAAGAAAGAATTCAAAACGAATAAATTTAAAACTTAGTATTTACTGCCATATCTTGATTGGTACGCTAGTACAATGCCTTCTCATATGACAATTTTCCTGCTTTATTCAAACAAAGCTCACCACGAACATTGTGGGTGAGTTTCAAATGCCTGTTGCCAATGTGGTCTGGAAGTTCCATATCATGATCTTTTAGGACACTTCTTTTCAGCTTTTTATTTGCTGAGAACTCTTGAAAGCAACCTTCTCCTGCCCAGTGATACAATCATTTGCATGGAAATCCTGTCATGTGTACTGATATTTGTAAAGTTCAGCATATCTTTCAAATCATCCTCATAACACTTCTCTGACTTATGGGCTGGTCAGTTTCTGTTACAAAAGCAAGCACCCCATACAAAAACCGTTTTTGATATACAGTGTAACCCGGATATAAGAGAGTTTTCGGGACCAGAGAAGAAGTCTCTTATATCTGGGTTTGGTCTATTTTGTTTAGGTAAGTATGGGCTCTAATTTGGGACCAGAGAAAATCTCTCTTATATCCGGGTTACACTGTATTAACCCTTATTGCAGTATTTAATGTTAAATTTTGCATTCAGTACCCAGTAAGGATCAAAGACCATCACTTATCAGTATTAATCTGTGTGTCAACTTTATATATGTATATACAGACAAACCTCTCATCAACAGACTAACAGGGGGAAGAGGTGGTCTATTAAGGCCGATTGTCCGTAGATGGGAAGGGATTATTTTTGAATTATAAAAACATTATAGTAACTACCAGTAGTTATGATCATAATGTAAATACTATAAACATGTATATATGGCATAAATAAATATATACTTAATCAAAATAGCAAAAATAATAGATTCCTCATATCTACTTTCTCATGCATGGGCTAATGTATCACAATTTATATACTGTACACTTGTCTTTGATTACAATTGAAAGGCCCACCACTGCCACCAAGTGGTCACTTTGAGAACTAATATGACTCATTCCCCTAAGCCCACACATTTTTAAATACATCACTGACAAATTGGGAGTTTCCCCCCTCCCCCAGATTTTTTTATTTTTATTTTACCTGCAGATTTTGTGTGTTGCATCCGAAGTCTGTTGATGGGGTGCCTGTAGATGAGAGGTCTGTTTATATATATATTTATATATATATATATATATATACATGATCGAAATAAAAGTGTAAAATTTAATATTACAAGACATATTAAAACAATATTAAATAATAAAAAAACACTCAACAACAAGGGGGGAAGCAACAGGTTTCGCTCCCGCTCATCAGGCTTCCACGGGAGATTCAAAATTAAAACATAGAAAGGTACAATCAGATGGTTTCTGATTTTAGTAGGAACGTGCTTCTCTATTCTAATGTCTAAGCGCTAACCACACCTTGCCTTCAAATGGACTCGTCCCGAACACCTACAGTTTCGCCATATGCGAACATCTTTTAAATAGCAGAGATTGTGCTGCCAAATTCAGTGTTGACTGGTTCACCGTGTTGGCCCGGTCACCTCCATATTTCATCTTAAGGTTCTGAGGCGCTTTTACATCGGGTCCATGAAGCCTTCTTTGTGCAAACAACGTAAGTGTTTGCTGGGACTCGCTGTCATCTGCCTCTAGTTCCTTCTTGCATATATACAGGTATATATATATATATATGTACATATATGTATGTTTTTTTTCCACCTATTCTGATTGTACCTTTCTCTGTTTTAATTTTGAATCTCCCGTGAAGCCTGATGAGCGGGAGGCAAACTGGTTGCTCCCCCCTTGTTGTTGAGTGTTTTTTTTTATTATTTAATATTGTTTTAATATGTCTTGTAATATTAAATTTTACACTTATTTCGATCATTAAATTTTGTACCTTCAAAAAAATATATATATATATATATATATATATATAGAGAGAGAGAGAGAGTGAGAGAGAGAGAGAGCAAAGGAAAACTTTTCTTAGCTGATGTTTTGTCCTCTGATGGACTTTATCAAGGCAAACCTAGGGATTTTATTTTGAATCAGTTTCCGGATCCTTCTAAAATCTACTGCAACTCTACACTTCTAATGTGTCTGCCGAAAATCTTAGATTTTTACTATTTATTTTTTATCTTTTCTTAACCACAATAGAAGTAAATAGGTTCACCTATCATCTAGTTCACACTCCTCCCCAGTCTTTTGAACAGGAGTAGAGGTTTATCCCTTGTTTCTTGTTTAGGATTGGGTTTCAAATTCCTTCTAAATTCTACTTCAACCCTATACATCTAAAATCTCTGCTTAAATTCTGAAATTTATACTTATTGGGTTTCTGGCTCCTTCTAAAGTCTTTTCCTTTTCTTTCATTTCCAATAGCTCATTGCATCTTAGTGGTGTTATTGCCTTGCTTGGAGTGAATTGATTAAAAAAAATTACTACTAACTGAAGTATTATAAAAATGTATATGTTTATATATAATTTATATAGACACACACTTAGAGCAAAGAAAAACAGGAAGCTGTGGAAAGCTATTATCACATCCTGAAGTGACATAGAATATAAAAGATAACTATTTTACTTGCAACATAAAAAACAACTATAATTAATTTTGCTATTGTTTTGGTTATATTTTCTGTATGATTTGTTTTTTGCATCTTATCACATGTAAAGCAATGAAAATAAAGCAATCCAAAGAAAGTTAGCATGAAAGAAAAGATCTCCCTTAATAATGAGATATAATGTTATTATGGTAGCATGAGACTTGTTTTACTAGTGTACTGTAGAGTAATGACTTTTGTTACTATAACAATGGCATATTCTTCAATTTTTTTCTAGCATATTTTATGAAAATTTTGTAAAAATTCATACCCTTTTCTATGAGAAAGAATCTTTTCTATAAATTCTGATTTAGCCACAGCGTTAGAGAAAAAAAAGTTTTTCATTACATATTCTTCCTAAAAATATTTCTCTAAGCAAAATATATATTCAAAAGTTTTTTAAACTGTCTGACTTAATTTTTTTTTCTTTTTAATAACAAGTTCTACAAAATCAGACAACAAAATAAATCAAATAT